AGGGTCCTCAGTGCCGTAAAGCCATCCCAGCAACGCTTACATATGCTCAACATCAACTGTTTTCTCTAGAATGAGTGTTCCAATTATTACTTAGATGAGGAGGGACAGTTCCCTTTTGAAGGATAAACAAACCTAATCATATATCTTCCCCACTCTATCAAGCTAATTGTTCCTTCAGGTTAATCTGTTGTGTATCTTGCAGTATCATTTGTGACTGTTATATAGATAGTTAAGAGTCATGCATTAATCCAAACATACTCCTCCATTCTGCAGCATTCGTAATCACAGATGCTGCCCATAAATTTGTCACTCTCACGATCAGTTTTAGTAATAGTTCCTCAGGAAGTTACCAATAATGATCTACAAGCGTATGTATTTCCTCTAAGCCATATCCCTGGTTACACTAAGTATCTTACTCCTGCCCATCTGCCTCCCAGACCTTTGGTGACCACAGGTCAGAGGGGTGTTTCTGGTTGCTCCCACATGTTTTAGTTTTTTTTTTTTTCCTTTCCAAGTAGGTCCTAAGAAAAAAGGGTGTCACTCTGTCCTAGTAGGACTTTTTTTAGCTCTAATATCAACCATCTTAGTTCCTACATTCTTTGCCCTTTCATTTGCTGCCACTACTGACAACAGAAACTAAGGACTTGTAAGTTTTACCCTTTCCTTATTACTCTGTATTTCTGTATACATCCAGTTAGCCAGCTTCTCAGGAATTAGGTCCACTAACTTCATTTCCGTGAGTAACTTTTGTCTTGGGTGACTGACTGCAACATAGTAACTGCAATAATCCATTCCGTATCTCATCTAGAGACCAAAAGTTTCTCATTTTCTTGTTTATCCCTTTTTCTTTAAAGATGAATGTTCCCAAGAGTCTCAGGCTTTGTAGAGAACTCCAATACTCTGACGTCAATTGGATTAATAATTTGTTCTACTAAGATTAGTTGTTGTTGTTGTTGTTAAGTGCCATAGAGTTGAGTATGACTCTTAGTGACCCTGAATGAAAGATCTGAACCCTCTCCTATCCTGTGCCATTCTCACACTTCCTGACACACTGGAGCCAACATTTTGTTGAGAGCTTTTGGAACTATATGCATAAGAAATTATGGGTCTAATTTTTTCTTTTCCTTCTTGTGATGTCTGACTGGTTTTAGCATCAGGTTGTGTCATCTGATAATGAGTTAGAAAGTGCTCCATTTTTTATTTAAAGAATTTTTAAAGATTTGGTGTTAATTATTTTCAAGTATGGGTAGAACCTTCCAGTAAACCCATCTTGTCTTTGTATTTTCTGTGTCTGTGATGGTAATATTTGTGCCAATATAGCCTCGAGCCTCATAATAATGCAGCCACCCTATGTGTTTCATAAATTCTTACTTACTTCTTTGATGTTAATGAGGCCAGATGAGAAAGGGTTTCGTAAATAGATATGATCAGCCTTACCTGGTTAAGGGGAGACCTCCTCAGGAATATGGCCTGAGAATATGAACCACTCTATCTGATTTAGGAGATGTTTCCCAAGGGAGCCTGTTGTTGTTGTTGTTATGTGCCATTGAGTCGCTTGCAACTCATAGCGACCCTATGTACAACAGCCCTAAACCCTGCTCTATCCTGTGCCAGTCGCACTGTCTCCGATACATCCATCCTAATTACCCCAGTCACTCAATCAACCCACCTCATAAAGGGCCTTCCCCTCCTGCGCTGTCCCTCCACCCTATCAAGCATGATGTCCCTCTCCAAGGACCGGTCCCTCGTTACAACATGTCCAAAGTATGTTAGATGGAGCCTCAGAATCCTTGCCTCCAAGGAGCCACCCGGTTTAACCCTTTCCAGGATGAATCTGTTTGTTTTCCTAGCAGTCCATGGTACCCTCAATACTCTTCTCCAGCACCACAGCCCAAAGGCATCAATTCGCCTTCTATCCTCCTTGGTCATTGTCCAACTCTCTGATGCATAAAAGTGATTGTGAAGACCATGGCCTGTATCAGACGCACCTTAGTCTCCAGAGAGACACCATTGCTCTTCAGTACTTTGGAGAGGTCCCTAACAGCAGACTTTCCCATCGTCTTTTAGTTTCCTGGCTACTGGTGCTGAGAGTGTTGACTGTGGAGCCAAGCAAACTAAAGCTGTGAACAATCTCAGTCTCTTCACCATCCATCCTGATGCTGCCAATTGGTCCAGTGGTGAGAATCTTTGTCTTCTTGACATTGAGTCTCAATCCATATTGGACGCTGCAGTCCTTGACCCTCTGCAGCAAGCGCTTCAGGTCCTCCTCAGTTTCAGGAAGCAGGGTTGTGTCATCTGCATATCGTAGATTGTTGATAGAGCTGCATAATATGTACATTTGGACTCTGGTAAAAAAAAAACTAGTGAGCATTTTTTACTTCTAATTGTCTGCCTTATGATCTCCACACCTGGACCAGTAGCTCCCCGTACTTGCTGACTCTCCAAAGACTCTCTACCTGCAACTCTGCCTCCCAACACTAACTTTTGGATTGTGAATAAAGCCTGCAGCTTCCAAAGCAATCAGTATGAGATCCTGCCTGTTTGAAACAACTTGGATTCACTAGTTTACACAAGCACCTCTCTTTTCAGGTCTGAGTAACAGGCCTGTGATGAGCCAGTGTCTAAGTGATTCATTTCTTTGCAATCTCTCTATGTATATATTCCATTGATCTTGTTTCTCTTAGGGAACCCTAACCTAAGACAGTGTCTTTCTAGGAAATTTACCCATTTCTTCTAGGTTATGTAATTTTTTGCCATACATACCTATTCTTGTGATTAAAAAAATTTTTTTTTGTAAAGTTATTAGACCCTTTTGTAAGCACTTGTTTCTGGTTTCAGTAATTTGAATCTTTTCAGTCTAATTTCTTTTTAATGTCCAAGGTTATACAGTCACACATTCTTGTATAAATTCATTTTCTTCCAGAGAAAACAAAGTCTTATTTGTTACCATACCCCCACTCCATCCTAGTCATAACATCCTACACAGAGATAATCCTAGTATCAGTTTGTCACAGCAGTTACTTACATAACTCAGTGTATTCATTTTTTTAATCACTATGAAAGATTGCTACAAATTTAGCAGCTTAAAACAATAGTTATTTCACTCTTCTCAGGGGGCAGGGATAGCTAATTTTCTGTTCAGGATCTTACCAGGTTGAAATAAAAGTGTTAGCTGGGATCGCCATGTCATTTGAGGTGCTGTGTCTTCTTTCATACTTTCATACTCAGTGGTTGCTGGCCAAATTTAGTTCCTTTTGATTGTGACATGGCAATTTTTGCCTACAGAATAGCCTCTGATGTGGCTTCAAATATCTCTTGACTTCTATCCCTGGCGTCTTGTTAATGTCAGATGCCAGAGGTGGCCTAGTGGCAAAGAGCTGTGCTGCAATCCCAAAGGAATATGGTTCGAGGTCACCAGCTGCTCCTCAGGAGCATGGGCAGTCTCTTCCTGTGCAACTAACTGCGTCTGAAAATCTGCCGGAGGGTCAGCTATGGGTCAGTTTCAACCCTATGGTACACAATAACAACACTGAGTATGACTCATAACAATCCTATGAACAATGGCTCCACCAGGAGAAAGATGAGCAATCTTCTCCATGCAATTTAAAGCCTCTTAAACACCAGCTGAAGTGACAATTATGAGTTGGTTCTGACTCAACAGCACGTGACAACAACCCAGGAGAATATTCCTGATTATCTCATTGATTTTCCTGTTAGTTTGTGTTTATCTTTCTGTTTAACTCAGAATGAACCGATTCAAACTAATTGCTCTTCAGCTGGACTGTGACTCATAACTGACCCTCCAGCAGGTTTTTGGAAGGCCTTAACTCCCGTGGAAAGAAATGATCCATCTTCCTTTGAAGAGCCACTAGTGAAGTCTTACCATCAGAGAGGTGTCACCTTTGGATTAGCAGTGCAGCCCTATAAGTACTATGCCAATATATCTCCTTTGTGGATGGATTAACATAAAAAAATAGCCATTGAATAAAAAAATTACTTATGGCTGACCCTTCTGTGGGTTTTCAGAGGCATAAACCACACAGGAGGAGATTGCCCATCTTTCTCTCAAGGAGTGTTTGGTGACTTTGAATCTTAGCAGCACATCTCTCTACTCTCCATGCCATCAAAGCTCCCCATGGACTGATTGTTGTTGTTATATGCCCTCAAGTTGGAACTGACTCACAGGGACTAGAGACTGTGAATCACACAGGAGATTACTTCTCTTTCTCCAGCAGAGAGCTGGTGGATTCAAATCACAATACCTTTGGGTTGGCAGTGTAACTCCTTATCACCAAAGCTCTCCTACTAAGCAAGCCTTCAGAGAGCACCCAGTTGTGTTACACTGGGAAAATCTGTTGTCAAGAACCTCTCCAAAGTGCTAAAGAGTAATGATGTTCGTTTAAATACTAAGATGTGCCTGATCCAAGGTATTTTCAAGTACTTCTTATGCATCTAAAAGTTGAACAGTGAAAACGGATGACAGAAGAGTGATTTGATGTCTTGGGGTTTGTAGTGTTGGAGAAAAGTACTCAAAATCCCATCAACTTTCCAGAAAACAAATAAGCCCTTTCCTCAGGGAAGTGTAACCAAGATGCTCCTTAGAGGTCGGATGGTGAAAGTTGGTCTCATCTATTTTGGGCGTGTTGTCAGGAGGGGCCACTTCTTGGAAAAAGACATCATGCTGGGAAAGGTGAGGGGTCAGAGAAAGAGAGGACGACCCTTATTAACAAGATGGGTCGACACACTGACTGCAGGAATGAGCTTGAGCATATCAGAGATGTTGAGGATGGCACAGGATTGGGCAGGGTTGGGATCGGCGTTGTTCCGAGGGTGGCTAAGAGCACTCGTCCATTGGATGGCTTTAACAACAGCACAGGTGCGGGCTAGCCATCGTGGCCCGTGGTCCAGGTGCACAGCCGTCCCACGGCCGCTAGAAAGCGCTCCCACAAGCCTTGGCCTCGTGTCCCCGGGACGCTGGACCCGCTCTCTCCCTCCCACAGGCCATCTCTATGGTTGCCGTTGTGGGTTTTGTCCGGAATAGGCGGCGCTTCCGGTTCCGGCGGGGCCGTCCCGAGCGGCGGAGATGGCGGCGGCGGGAGCTGCCTCGGCGTCCGCAGAGCCCCGGGAAGCCGAAGGCTCCGGCCCGTCCTGGGATGAGTCTCAGCTGCGCACGTACAGCTTCCCGACCCGGCCGATCCCGCGTCTGAGTCACGGCGACCCTCGGGCGGAGGAGCTTATCGAGAACGAGGTGGGGGCGGGGCCGCGGCGGCGGGGGTCGGGTGCTCGGGGCCCGGGGCCGGCTCGGAGCAGGGGTCCGAGGGGAGGGGTGAGGGGAGCGGTGCGTGCTAGGGCTGTGCACCCGGGGGACGGCGAGATCGCCAAGGAGGGGAGAATGCCGTTCCCGGGGTTCTCCCGAAGTTGAGAAGTAGCGATTCACGGGACAAGAACGCGCCGGCTCCTGAGAGTGGCTTCATGTGCTTTTGTGGTTTGGTTGGTTTTATCTGATGTTTTCGCTTAGGAACCCGTGGTCCTGACCGACACAAACCTCGTCTATCCTGCGCTGAAGTGGGACCTTGAGTACCTGCAAGAGAATATTGGCAACGGAGATTTCTCTGTGTACAGCGCCAGCACCCACAAATTCTTGTACTATGATGAGAAGAAGATGGCGAATTTCCAGAACTTTAAGCCGAAGTCGAACAGAGAGGAGATGAAATTTCATGAGTTTGTTGAGAAGCTGCAGGATATACAGCAGCGAGGAGGGGAAGACAGGTAAATGCTCAGATTATGGTTTCCCTTTGGATGTAACGCATCTCTTCATCTGAAGATGCAGACGAGTTGGGAGAGTAGAGAAGGGTATCTTACATCTCTAGATGCCGCTGGATCAATATTTTGCTTTTCTAACCTGGTGAGGGGTGTGAGTGGCTCTTAGGGAGTCTTGGGGCTCCATCCATTTCGTTCTTTAGCTTGAGAAATGAACTGACTAGAGTTGAACTTGACCCTTTAGTTCATTAAAGTGAGACTTTATGCCTAGAAGGGTCAAGACGGGGAACAAAACTGAAGTTCTCTGCTTGGAAATGACGGTCAAACTGGTGGCGTCAGACTGAGAAATCATTACTTGACTGTGCTTCTTTTCTTTTAGAAGTTGTCTTCCAGTCATTTAAGTTTTAGAGAGAAGCCAGAGATCAGGATTTTCATTTATTTTTTAATTGAAAAGTGTAGCTAACTCATCGAGATTTTTTTAAATGCTACATGAGAGCCAGACCCCCCCCCCCCCCAAATTTCTTTGTTTGATTCAGCCCTCAGGTTGCCATTTTTCAGTCTTGACTCTAGACTATCAGGTTGGCTGTGGACACTTCGAATGAAAATGTTTCCTAGAGTGCTGTGATTCTGGGATACAGTAAATCAGAATCTTCCAGGGCAGATCACGTTAGATTGGATGTGGTGGTGTGATGTTGGTCTTCTAGAGGGTGCTAGTGTTCACAAATCCAGGACACAGATAAGAGAGTGATTCTTTCTCTCAGCTTTTATTTATTTTTTTTTTTCATATTTGACATGTTTTAATACAGTCAGCTTTTGTATTGATACATACAAGCAGTCTTCTGTATGGGTCCCAGTAGTGTTCAGCCCTGCACTGTAGTATTTCCTTTGGGGAACTGTGGTTAACTGAGTAATTTCACAGATAGATCCATGTTACTATTTCATGGTGAATATCCTTCATAGGGTTGATGTCCAGTCTTAGGCTTCTCCCTCATCTCTTGGCCTCGCTGCTTGACTCCCTGTCTGCAGTGAGTGGCTAAATAAATGGATTTGAAATACAAGTTTTCCTCCTGGCACTCCATAGTTGCAGCATGATTGGGTTTTGACGAAAAGAATTTCTAGGATCTGAACTTTGGTCAGTTTGTCCTTTATGTCTTCTGAAGACTCCGTTCAGGCATTTCATGCATTAACTTTTTTAAAATTTAAAGGCACATGTGTGCGGGAACCCCCTCCCCCCCAATGTTAAGAGAGGGGACTTGACGTAAATGGTGTTGGTAGAATTTATGGTTTCATTCATTGAGTGAACCTGGGCTTTGGAATCTTCACGGGAGGAGATGCCCATCTTCTCACAGAGCAGCTAATGGATTTGAATTGTGTGTCTTTGAGCAAATGAAAAGAACAAATCTTACTTTGAGAGTTGGAGTTGGGGAAGAATAACTCTCCCCTTGGGATAACTAGTTTGTACTACAGTTAGTTGCTCTCGGATGATCGGGGATATCGTGAGGCCAGAGCATCTAGAGCTAAACTAATTCATCATTCTGGGGGCAGTAGATAGGGATTTTAGGAATTGATAATATTGTATGAAAAGTTCTCTGTATTTGTACATTTACCTAGGAAGTTGCCCTTAGATTCCTAAAGGATTTGTGCTGTGACCTGGAAAAAAATTTTAATTTTAACGTAAAATGTTTGAAACGTATTTTAAGAAAGATAGGAAAGAAGTCAACTGAGGTTTAGTCTGCAAATCTGTGTTGGCTAATCATGTGAATGCAGCTGTTGTCTGTAGGAGGTGCTCATCAGGTTTGGGTCCAGGTTTATTTATCCAGAAACTGCGTGTACTAATGAGATGTTCTTCTTGGGGAACATAGGTTGTATCTGCAGCAGACGCTCAATGACACCGTGGGCAGAAAGATTGTTATGGACTTTCTGGGTTTTAACTGGAACTGGATTAATAAGCAGCAGGGAAAGCGTGGCTGGGGGCAACTGACCTCCAATCTGCTGCTCATCGGCATGGAAGGTAAGAAATCTTTCAGTAGCATGGCCTCGAGCTATGTAAACTTGGTCTTTAATTCTGTTTTCACCCTTTATTAGCTCTGTGATTTATTTTTAACCAAGTCACTTAATTTTCTTAAGTCTGAGCATCTTTATCTGCAAAGGGAGAGGATCATACAATAGCTGGAAAGTTTTAAGTGAAAATGTATGTTAAGTCTTGAACGTGTACTCTTTTTTTTATTTTTTTTTAATTATTAATATTTTTTTGTGTGCGTGTACCGTCAAATCAGATCTGACTGGTACAGGAGGAGATTGTCCCTCCTTCCCTGGCAGAGCATCTGGTGGGTTCGAACCGTGCGCCTCTGGGATTGTAGTTGCAGTTCCTTGCCACTGGGCCACCAGAGCTCCCCTTGAGCGTACTCTTAATTGAGTTCTCTTTGACCTTCAACTTCTGTGTGAGCATATATATGTGGATACACAAGTCTACTCTGAAATACTGAGATGTACCAGATCTTTGTATATGTGGAAGATTTTTATCTTCAAAGAAGAAAAATTTATTTTTCGAATTTCATTTTAGCTTTATCTTTGGAATAGATAGACATTCATGGACTTGAAAATTCAAATGTATAAAATGATAAATTTCTCTTCTATCCCTATCTCTCAGGCCTTCTTGCCCCCTCCCTGAAGGCATTCCTTCTTAATTAGCTGCTAATACATCCTTCCAGAGAATGTATGCATACAAAAAAATATGAATGTGTTCCTTTTTCCCCCCTAAATATAAAGAAAATCCTTTAAACTCTAATCAGGAGGTAGAGGACTACTTCAGGGCAAGATTGATGTTTTGTTTTTAGTTCTAGTTCAAGCCCTCATGCCAGGTTATAGCAGTTACTTAGTAAGTATTGAATAAACTGGGTTGGGCAAGAAAGCAGATCATCTTATCTACAGAATAATTACTAATTATCGGTCTTTGAAGTCTCTTTGCCCCTTTTGATTGTCATTTCTTCAGAATCACCTCTTTTTTTTCAGTATTAATAAAGGCTTCCAACAGTATGGTTTATGAATTTATGCTTAACAGCCCCTTTATAACCACTTCGTATTTGACCTGCCAGGAGCCCGTTCTGGTTTGCTTAATTCTGAGGTTTCCTGTTGCCACCTTTTCCTGTGGTGGGTAGAGGGAAGCAGACCCCTCAAATAGAGACTAGAGAGCAGCTGTCCTCTGATGTGCCCAGGCCTCTGAACCCTCAAGTAGCTGTCGTGGCATACCTGTGCAGAGTTGGGGAATGTTTTTTAAAATACCATACTTTACAGAGGTATATGTTCAACTCTGAGGGATTGTGCAGTGGATAAGCCATAGATGTGGTCTAAGTCTTAAAGTAGCAGATGGAACATTTCCTCTACATTAGGCAGAGAGAAATGAATGTCACCTTAGTTAAGATATGCAACTCTCTCTTCAGGAATCTCGTTGACTGTCCCTCAGATAAGATCCAGCAACCCCAGTGTTATTCCTAAGAAGTGCATCCCATAGGTATATTGAAGTGGGAGAAAAGATTGAGATGAGACTGTTTGAGCTTTGAAAAAGCTATCCAAAGCAAATATATAGCCACATAGCTTAAAATAACGTATTAGCGTGTTCAAAGTAGACCATCCATGCATTATTGACACTAATATACTGACTGTTGTTTTGCTGCCCATGAATTCTTGCCATAGTTAGAGAGTCTAGATAAACCCAGTGTACTGTTTTGCCAGACATAACCACTGTTGGGTTGATCCTGACTCATAGCAACCCTCCTTTGGGTTTCTGGGACCAAATCTTAACAGGAGGAGACTGTCCATCTTCCACAGAGCCACTAGTAGATTCAGACTGGCAGCCTTTAAGTTAACAGCTTCTGAACTACACCCATAACACTTGGATGAGTTACTGTATCCAGTGAGCAGCTGTCATTTAGAAAAGTCTTACCTTACTACTCAGTGAGTGTTGCTGGGCATTACCTATTGAAAGTGTACTATCCAATTGCTAAAAATTGTCATTCAGTTTCTCTGATTTTTTTTGTTAGCTGGGAGGAGGGTAGGTTGGGCTTCTAAGCAGTGCTCAACCTTATATTGCAGCGTATGCAGTAGAGCTGTTACTGTGGATAAGAAAATGTCTTCCCTCCTGCAGGAAATGTGACACCTGCTCACTATGATGAGCAACAGAACTTCTTTGCTCAGATCAAAGGCTACAAACGATGCATCTTATTCCCTCCGGATCAGTTTGAGTGCCTCTACCCATACCCTGTCCATCATCCATGTGACAGACAGAGCCAGGTGAGCATATGTAGTCCGAGGAGAGCGTAGAACTCTAGATTCCAGGAATTCTTTGGAGATCAGAGGCTGGATGTCTTTCCCATTCCCTGTGTTGGTATGCCAGCTTCAGGTTACAGGCAAAACCTTGCCTTAAGAGACAGCTCAAAGGATAGTTTCTTAGTGTAGTTCATATGTTCCAGGCCCCTTTGAAAATCCCCCAGTGTTTGTTAGCATAACAGCCCTATAGAGATAATGCTAGAGGGCAGACACCCCACTGCCTGTTGGTGCTGGCAAATTCTGATTACTCTGCTTGATTGACTTAACAGGCTCATGAAATAAAATGCTGTATCTCCATTGCATTGTTTCCTTTTGTCACGGGTGCTCCCTTTTTACTTTAGAGAAAGGCAGATAGATTTGTGAATGTATCCATGTACCATATCAAGGGTGAGATATGTAAGATTGACTTTGTGGCCAGCCAGAGAGGTTGTCTCCTTTCTTAAGATTGTCTGGCTACTCCATCTCAGAGTCTTGTGCCAGTTAGAATGTGCTTTGAGGAGAAAGTTCCTAAAGATTTGGGTAAAGAGTGAGTCTTGGTTCTAGTTCCCTCATTTGCTCAGATGGTGATGTAGGTCTCCTTACCTCAGGAGAAATGTAGGATTCTTCGTCACTGAATATTGTTCTCAGGGAAAAAAGCGTTTGTTTAATGGGAGTGAGTTGTGCCTTGCTGGATATGAATTCTAAAGCCACCTTCCTTTCTCTCTCCTCCTTTTTAAAAAATCTGCTGTATTTGGGTGAAAGTTTACAAATCCCGTTTCCCCCCAATTATTTGTAGGTATTAGTTATCATTGATCAATGTAACTAACTTATTACAGTGTCTGAGTAAATGTTTATTAGATATTGCTATTTTCACTTACCTTCTGTTTCTTTTTTTTCTTGTCTCTTTTCCTCCCCATACCTCCATTTAATCCATAGCATTTGTCCTGTTTCACATCGTTAATTGCAAAGGCTTCTTTTTAAATTACCAAGGTCACTAGTGCATAATAGTAACTGATGAAGATTTGATGATTGACTGTTTCTCTTTCTCTTTCTTGAACCTCTCAGGTGGACTTTGACAATCCTGATTATGAGAGGTTCCCCAATTTCAAGAATGCAGTTGGCTACGAAACAGTGGTTGGCCCTGGAGATGTTCTTTACATCCCAATGTACTGGTGAGGACGGGGCTAGGGCTGGGGACTTGGGAACTTGCCTTGCCATTCTTTGGAAAGCTTTACCTGTGTCTTTTCTTCTGAATTGCAGCAGGATTGGTCCTGTGTGGTCCATACTGTTGTTGTTGTTTTGGGCCGTTGAGTCAGAATTGATTCATAGCTGACCCTCCAGCATATTTTCAGAGGCAGTAAACTGCACGGGAGGAGACTTGCCCTTCTTTCTCTCTTGGAGCAGCTGATGAATTCAAACCATGTGCCTTTGGGTTGGCAGCACATCTCCCTACCTGCTAGACCACCAGAGCTTCCTGTTTCGTCCATAGGAAGGTTGATGTGTCTTGATGTAAGCATATGGAATGTGGGGGAAATGATAACCCAGTTCAAGTCTGAAGAAGGCTTGGGGCTGGAGAAACTGCTCTTGACTCCTTGGTCATAAGAGACGGAACACTCCTTAGTACCTCTAGTCCCATTCCTCCCTCTGACAGTTCACTGGCAAACAGAGCCCGTTTGTTTTCTTGCAGGTGGCATCACATAGAGTCATTACTAAATGGGGGGATTACCATCACTGTGAACTTCTGGTATAAGGTGAATGTGGTTGATTTCATTTCTAGTTGTATCTGGGGTTGGTTAATAATAATAAATGATTTGGGGGTGTTTCGTAGGTCTTTGGGGAGATGAAAAGGATAGGATTGAATTGGATTGTTTACATGGGAAGTTGGTGCTAGGCATAGTAGAGTGACATTGAATCCTGCTGCCAGTGGCTTTTCCTGAGCTGCTACTTCCTTTGCAGGGAGCCCCTACCCCTAAGAGAATTGAGTATCCTCTTAAAGCTCATCAGAAAGTGGCCATAATGAGAAACATTGAGAAGATGCTTGGAGAGGCTCTGGGGAACCCACAAGAGGTATGTGGCTGCCCTGCGGTGGCACTCCTATGGTTCAGTGGGCAGATTGGTCGGGGAATGTCAGAGTTAGTGTGACAGTCTCCATAGCTCCTGTCTGAGTATCTGGTGTCCTCTCTCTGCATAGAGGTTATGGGTACATTCAGAAAATCCTTGTTTTCTGGAGAGTGCTGGGCTTGACTGGCGGATCAATTAAAATCTGTTCCGTGCTAGTGATAATGCTCCCCATGGGGCCTGTGTGCCAGCTGGGGACCCCTGAGGGGATTCTTCTGGATTGGGAAGCAGGCAGTAAAGCATCTCCTCATACTTTCCCAGCTGTGCCAAGGCAGCTCTAGGTAATGTTGAGACCTGCTTCCCACGCAGGTGCTCCAGTGGCACACTGAGTATATGGAGGTGGTTTGTCATACTTTAATGTAGCATCTGCAGGAACTTAGGGTTAAGAAACGTTACCAGCTCCAATTACAGGTGACCTCTTATGAGGACATAGAGGCATTTAACATTTTTAAGGTACTTTTGGAAAACTTGGAGACTTTGAGTAATTTGAGGTTTTTAACTCCTTGGGCCTTTTTGTTAGTCTGATGTTGCTTACAGATACATGGGATGTTGTGAAAGGGAAGAGAACCCCATGGCCCAAAATACTGACTTGGTTTCCAGAAGGAGAGTTGGTTAGTGGGTTTGCAAGCTTGACTATCTTCAGGCACACGCATCCAGCTCTAGGGCTTGGGGATAGGCAGTTCTGACTGGCTCCTCATGTCTCTTCACAGGTGGGGCCCTTGTTGAACACAATGATCAAGGGCCGATACAACTAACCTGCCAGGGGTTCGAGACCTCCTGCCAGGTGACTGCTACCCCGTCCACACCGCTCCATTGATGAGGACGGGCGATTCCAAGCGCTAGTATTGCACGCTGCACTTAATGGACTGGACTCTTGCCATGGCCCTGGAGGCAGGTGTTTGGGGCAAGGCAGGGAGGTTGGCACTCCACTCCCATTTGGAGGGACTTCTTACCCATGCCTTTTATGCCCCAGCACCTTTCCTCTCTGCCCCCCTAAATTCCTACATTCATTGTGTGGAGTCCCAACTTCTGATTGTTGTCATGTCTGTGTGTATTCATCTGTCAGCCTTGCTGTGTGTGTGTGTGTGTGTGTGTGTGTGTGTGTGTATGTGTATGTGTGTATGTGTGTGTGTATAAACCTCAGTGCCTCAGCCTGAGGTAGGACTTGTTTATTGGATTGCACCATACATCTGAGCTGCAGGGCCAGAGATACCCTGACTGTTCAATCAGACTGCTTCCCTCTAGTTTTCACATAGATTCTAAACTGGGTGGCAGTAGCTGCTGGGACTTAAATGGGGAGAGGCAGGAGGAGGCTTGCCTTTGAAAACTTTGACAGGCAGTCTGTGAGAGACGGAACTAGATAGAATTCTGGCTTAGACCTCAGACTCAGGCTATACACAGGAAGGAATTGCATACACATAACTTCTCTCAGCTCCAGCTCTTGGGCGCTGAGGGAGTGTTCCTAGAGGTGGCATCTCTGGGTTCTTGGGGAGCATGCCTCTGTGTGTGTGTGTGTGTGTGTGTGTGTGTGTGCGCGCGCGCGCGCTCGTGTGTCCATGCTGATCAGCCTCTTCAGCTTACCAAGGTTTTCCACGGCTTTATTTTATCCAGTGGGAATCCCAGGGAAGTACCACCTGACCTCACCTAAAACTTTTTTAACTCCCGTTTTAGCCATTTTATGTTGGTCAGGTCTCCCTGCAACCTGCCCAAGGCTGACAGGCTAGAGCCTCAAGGCCTATGGCTGTCGCTGTCCGGGCCATCCTCTACTTCTGCTGAACTTGCTAGCTGAGTAGATGAACTGGGGTCAAGCTTAGGCAGCTAACTCTCCACCTCTCATCCACCTCAAGGCAAGGGTGGAAGTCTTCACCTTGCCTCATAAAGCCAGCGCCTCTGCCAGACCCCACGGTAGTGCTCCAGAAACACCCTTGATAGTCAGGGCAACGGGTGGAGCACAGAAGTGGAATTTCCTTATCTGTTCATAACTACTCATGGGAACCCCTCTCAGGGCTGCAGCTTCCCGCTGGGCTGCTGTGCCCTCGCCAACTCGCAGAGCCATCATTCAAATCGATTCCATAAGATTGGGGCCCTGAAGTGAGTGTAGCGGCCCTGCGTGGATCACCGGCACTCCCGTTTCCATCCCTCTTCTTGCTGAGAGGAAAGAGGAGTTGGATGTCCGTGGTTGCTGTTTTGGGTTATTTTTTCCTTTGTTTTGTTTTGTTTGCCAAAGGTTTACTTCTGGCTCTTGCCCCCAAAGCTGAGTTTACAGTGCACTGATGGACTGAGGATGTGTGTGTGCACCTGTGTGTATATTTTGGGGGAGGGGGTGTTTGTGTATATTTTTAGTACCTCATTCTGGGGGGATTTCTGATACAGTGTGAGTGTGCAAACACGGTACCTTTTCAAGTGTAGTTCTTTCAAATATAGCCAATGTTGGAAAATGTGACTGCAGTCCCTCCGTCCCTCTGCTGCCTCTTGGGAAGGAAGAGAACAATGAAAACCAAGCAGACACAGGATACACTTGGCGACAACCACACTTAGACTGTAGATTCTGTTCATTCTCAGAGGATGTGCTAAATCCTGGGTTCACCCTAAAAGATGTGGGTGAAGTGCGTCGGGGAGGTGGGTGCTGTGCTGACCCAAGCCTGACTGAAGATGAAGACTGAGGTGGGGGGAGAAGGCCACCTTCGGAGCCTTCACAGAATTGGTCCTGAGCCTTTAGTAATTAATACAGAGTCCCTCAATTCTTAAATTCCTATTCTGCGCCTGGCATTCTTCTCCTTGTTCCTCACCATCCTGTAAGGTAGGTATTCTCACTTTTCAGAAGACAGTACCGGCACAGAGAGGCTAAGTGATGAACAGCAATCAAGATTTGCATCTAATGTGACTGCAAACCCCTGTTATTTCCTTCCCACCAAACTTTGTTAATTCTTATACCTAAATTGCCCCCCTTGTTCTGTAGTTCCTAGCCTCATATCACACCCCAGGGGCACTGTCTGGCATGGGCAAGCAGCCAAGATGGACATCTGAGTTCTAGGTTCTGTAACTCTGTCCTCAAATAGGTCTCATGATCTCTCCCTAGCACACTTCTGGGGGGCATCGAACAGAAGGTCTGACTCTAGATGATGACCAGGAGTGTGGCTCCTGCTCTGAGATTGGTGCTCCCCTCACACACCTGCCAGGGACTCCTAGGTTCCAGGGAGGAAACATTCTGTATAGTTGGTTACTCTCTGTTCTGGTGGGCGGCACCCACGTGAAGGGAGCTTGGGGTACTGGCTTTTCTGTAGGTTGGCCAAGCTGCGGACTGATGTTTTCACATCAGCATGTATGGAACTACTAAAGTACTGTTTAGTGAAGTCAAATATTTGGGGGGGGGCGTGGTTGGAGTTGGGTGTGGGGGAGGGGCTGTTCTGGGCATCAGTTGAGCAGATGCCCAGGCTGCCTGGGGGAGACCAGCTTCCCCTACAAATCAGAGCTCTAAATTACAAGGTTTTTACCAACGTGAACAGTTGGGGGAAGTCGTCTGCTCTCATTTGCGTAATGGTTTCTGTCACTGGTGATTAGACACAGGATGAAGGAAAAGAAATTTGACAATTAGGAATGAGCGATCATTAATCTGAATCTGTTAGGAGACAGGGGAAGGATCCTTATCAATGGGCCAGCCCAGTGTGCAGATATGCTCCCTCTCTCTGCGTCCCAGACACCACTGGGTCACACACCTTTTCAGTAGTCCTACAAGTGAGCTGAGCTCATGTCTCAAAGAGTTCATGGGCCTGAGCCACAGTCTGAGATGGATTCAGGAACAGACAATTTATGGATCTGAGCCAATAAAAATAACGATAAATGGGTATCAAGTACAAGCTACAGGGCAAAAAGTAACAATAGTTTGGACATGTGTTTTCTTTTTGTGGGAAATCACTTAACTAGTCAACCCCTCTGAGAATCCCACCTGGGACAAGTGCTTGCTACATTCCAGCGCATCAGGATGTGGAGATGCTGTGGCCTTCATCCTGGAGAATTTGAGACCGCCTGAGTTTATGAGGCCCTAGTAGTACGCTCCCTGTTAGGAACTCCATGATCTGGACTTGAGGGAATAGAAGAGAGTACAGAAATACCTTGAGGTTCTGGTGAGTTCTGAGCTCCCTGGAGAGGAATTGTCACACTGGACCTTCAGCAAAGCTGACTTGTTTGTGTTTTTCCATGATGTTACAGCTGTCTGTATATGGAGAGTATGAAGGCCCCTGGTGCAGATAAATGGACTAGTGATTAGGTTAAACAGCTACTTAAGTGTAGAGAGTCCTGTCAGATTTTAGGGACATTGTTAACTTTGACCAGCTTGTGCTTGCTTCTCTGTTTTGTGACTTGGGTACAGGGAATTCCTTAGTTTGGAGGCCTGCTCAGTGGAGCATGTAGGGTAGAGAGAGGGGGTTTCTCTGCCACCTCAGTGTATGACCCTCAAAGCTGGACCTTTTTCTCCCATTAGTTCTCTTCATTTTTATCTTCCAGCAGAGGTACAAGGAGTTACCCTATCAACAGTTTCTCACCAGGCTGGTGTGTGATTAGAGAGGGATTTTCAATTGAAAGTGGTGAATGGATGTCCAGAGACACCTCTCAGCATGCGCCCTTCCCCTTCTCTAGAGCCTGCAGTTGGTCCTCTAGCATTGTGCCAACTTCTCTGGCTTCTGCCCAAGCTGCCACCTTTAGTGGAATGTTCCAGCGGACCCTTCCAGAAGTCCTTTAGTTTCTTCTGTCCAGTATCAGTACTCCCACTCTTGCCGTCTTTCCCCCTACCAGTTGTCCTACCCTCAGGAGCTCCTTGATGGCACATATTTGGAAAAGTTGATCTTGTCTCTAGGCTTACCATCCCTTGTTCGTGCATGGATATTTATTTCAGTCCATGATAGCTGTTTATCTGGCTAGGGTTGATTCATGTACACTGCATCTGCTTCATCTTACTATTCCTTTTTCATTTCTGTACTTCCTGGTTCCACGCTGTCTGACATTAGTGGCCATTTTGGCTTAAGTTCAGACAGTTTTTTAGTCCTCTCAGATCTGAGGTCTTGAAAGGAGCCATGCTGAACACTTTGGTGACATTTTTCAAGGTACTCAGAACTTGGAAACTTTGAGACCCAGGGGCCTGTATGATCAGTAAGGCCTCTGGAAAGAAGCTAGGAGAGTAGAGAGTGGTAGGTGATAACAGATTCACCGAGAAGGGGAGCAGGAAAATAGGCAGGAATGAGGATAGGTCTGGCGAGCTGGAGTTGATGATTGCAGCCTGTGTTCTTCCAGGCCCAGCAGTACTGAGATGGTGGGCCTTTTGTGTCTTCTAAGTTCTTGTAGATGGCTGGTGATGCCCTGAGTCACTCAGTTTGAACTCTGCAGTCCACTGGGTAGCTGGAAGGACAACAGTCAGACCTGAAGTGGAAGCCTTTGAAAAGTCCTGGAAGCCTGAGATGAAAGAAGAGAGGGAATGAGTGGTTAGCTCATACCCAGGCAGTCTCTTCACTCCTGTAGGAGTATGAGTAGGTAGCTGTTTCAAGAAATTCATAAACTGAAACGTACTTGCCCTACCTAAACTCTAGGCTGTGTTTTGAGAGGAGAATGTATTCCTTAACATCCAATTCAAGAGAATCTAGCATTGTGTTCATAGCATAAGGTTTGGAGACATGTTTTTGGCTGAGCTATCTGGCTTTGCCTCCTAGCATCTGATTATCATAGTTTGTTTGCTTAACCTCCCTTAACTTTCAATTTTCTCACA